TCCCTTCGTCGAAGCATGAGGGTCATGTTAGGGATATGGACATTAGATGTTTAGTAGTTCATGATTAGAGCAAGTGGGAGATTGTTGGTTTAGTGCTCTATGATGTACTGTTTGCGAGCTTTACTTGGATGCATTTGATGTATTGACACTTTCGGTCTATTTATGGATGGATGAGTGTTTTATTCATTACATATTGTGCATACTTATGTGTTATGAAATCCATGTATTGTTATGAAGAATACTAAACTCCCTAGTCATGTATCATTGTGGAAATAATGATATACTAAGACTAGTATGATGTGTGATTGATGATCATATAGATGATCATAGGTATTGGATACGATCACGATCATAGGTATTCGTTGGAGAACGGAATGCTGGATTGACCCGCATGAGATTGTCACATGGACTAGCGTCGTGACTTGAATCTCATATGACGGTTCCATGATTGGATCCTAAGACCTGAGATGTCTACGGAATCCAACATGAGGAGTTGCGTGCTTTGATTATGTTAAACGTCCTGCGTAACAGGAGGACTATAAAGGCGTGTATCAGGTACGAAACGAATCATGTGCTGGATTGTAGATAATCAAGACGGAATTTGCACCTCTCGTAAAAGAGAGAGATATCGATGGGCCCCTCGTGTGGGAGAGACTGTAGAAATGTGTGGTCGCACTATAGACGAACATCGTCTATTTCAGACAGTCGAACTCAGTGAACGAGAAAGCAGTCGAATCAGATAAGGTGGCTTGTCCATGCCTTATATTCGACATATGATATCGTGATACAAAAGGATCATCAACCGGAATCATCACTGGCGTTCGTAAGATCACGAACAAACTCTATTCGAGATAGGTAGTCATAGTGTCTTGCTAGAGACCGCCTATGACTTGTATATCCGGAATAGAGATTTCGGGTTATACTGCTATATCGGATGAGCCTACAGGGTCACATACACAGGAAAGGACAAATGCGCGAGAAGAGACGAGAAAATTTCGGTGGAGCGGAGGCCAGACCGACCGGTCTAGAAGGTCTAGACCGATCGGTCCAGCCAACCCAGACCGATCGGTCCAGACACGTGGACCGGTCGGTCCGGAGAAAACAGTCCGGAAATTGTTCCAGTCTGATCGGTCCGGACCTATAGACCGATCGGTCCAGACATTAAAAAGCTCCAGACCGATCGGTCCAGACGTCGGGATTTACTAAACTCGCTCTAATTAGGGTTTTAAAGGGAAGAAACTTATGGAAACGCAAACCAACTCTTTTGGCACGATTTTCAGACCCTAGGGAGAGAGGTTTGGAGAGTGAGAAAGCTAAGAGAAAGATCCCTGAAACCCTTGCGTAAAGAAGAAAGCGTTCTTCAGTCCTAGCAGACAAGTTCCAACCGTTGGAATCCTTTCCGCCGTGTGGATACGTGTAGAGGGCAATGTATTCTTCCTGCCTACAGTGATCAGACGCGTTCTTCAATTGATACAGGCCCCGTATTGATTGAGGTAAGCGTTCTAACTTTCTACAAGATCATGCATGGTAGGTTTTAGGGTTTCATCAAAATTTTTGTTTTTCATCCGCTGCGCAAACCTTAGAACTGATCTCTTAGGAATTAGATTCGCTCTTGAGATCACAGGAAAACCCAACAAGAAAAACTAGCACACTCTTACTGACCTTCTTATAAACACATGGTTTATCTTCGTTTTGAGAGAAGTTATGTCGATCTTGGTGTGATCTAATCTATCTTTAATTTATACCTAGACGCAAATATCGTAAATGTACGGATCATATATAACAACTAAAGTCGAACACAGAGAAAAAATAGACAATTGAATCAAAATCCTATCCGAAACTCGATCTAGATGAAAATAAGGATGATGTGAATGTAACAAACATGCAGAAATCAATAAGACAAAAGCAATCAATGAATAAACTATTAATAGTAAAATACTGTAGGCTTAGGGATTGTTTTACATGTAAGGATTTTCTCTGATGATGCAGATTTTGTGATTTATTAATCCAATTTGGAGGAATCAAATCTCTTTGATAGAGATAACCCTCTTGAGTTTAACTTCACTATCTAAAGTTTAGCCTTTTATCTCTCGATCTAATAGTCTTGAATGCATGAACGAATACATTTTTTCCCCGATTCTTCAACATTTTCGCCTTCATCTTTTTTGAAATGAAACAGATGCTTTCATTTTCTTTTGCTTCTACATCATTGGCACTCTAAATCGAGATTTCACATCAGGCTCGAGTATATCCTTTCATTTCACAGATTTTATATCTTCAAACAAATGAGCCATCAAACTATCAATCACCTTGTCAATCACTACATAGAATACAATTAAGATATTGTATGAAAATATGATTTCTTTAATTCTCACAAGAGATTATCAACGATCTCCAAACCTCGAAGCTCCTTTGTCAATCCTTGTTTGATGTCATACTTTTTTTTTCAGGATGAAACATATTTTACACATCTCCGAAGACATGTTTGGTTCATATTACCTTCCAATCTCACTTCATTATATATTCCGTCAGAACGAAGTTTAGGAATACAATCGAACGACAACATATGCAATATCAACCATAAAATATTAATAATGTATTTCATTCACAATAATTTACTTTTTATTAATTTAAATGATTTACCGTGAGCGGAATTATGAATCATGTTAAGTTTCATTGATTGAATGGCTTCTTGTGATTGTTCAAATAATTATCCATGAATATTTTTAAAGGTGAATGTTCTCTAAGTGAAATTTTCACAAACGTCCACATTATTAATGATTTTCAATAAAAACGGATTAACATATTCTGAATATTGGTGTCCTATGAGATGACTAACCAGCAACATATAAACCATCTTAAATTTGTCATCTTTTTTTTATCTACATACAATTTCCAAAATATGATGCACATATGCATATATTTTTCACATGCTATTTTTATCAAGGGGTATATGGTCTTTTTCCGTTGTAGGGTATATGGTCTTTTTCTAGTTTTTTTAAAAGTAAATAAGATATTTGCTAATTGTTTCTATTTTTTAAATGTACCATTGAAATACAAGCGTCAAGGCGTAGAGGTGATGTATTTGAGTAAATTATCTTTTAAAATCAACATTGAATGTAGATTTGTCAAATTAGGCAATACAACCCATTAAACCCAAACTCATAAGGTTGTGTTAAATTTGGGATTGGGTTAACCCAATCCACTAAAAACAAAACAAAAATTAAATATGTTTGGTTAACCCAACAAACCCAATTAAACTCAATCAACCCATTAATTAATTAAACCAATTATTTCATCATTTAATTTATTATCATTAGATATTAATGATACTATTATATATGACAAAATGTCAAGTTAATCTAACGAATATATTACTTTAACTTTTACCAGCACAATACATGTATCATATATAGAGAGACATAATCCAACTAGTATGTAAATATATATATCTACATATATATGTATTACTAATATCCTTTAATTAATAAACTCTTTTTTGTCTATATGTTGGTAATTGTAAATACGTATATAGTATTTATACGTCTTCCAAAAACATGAATTATTATTTAAATATATACTGAATAAGGATAATTTTATAAATGTTTTTCTACTTTGGCAATTGATTGTTGACACACACACACATATATATGTGTTTGTATTTAACGTGGTTTCCTTTCCAAAAATATATGTTATGCTATTTCGATCCAATGACAACAAGTGTTTGTATTGAACGTACTTTCCTTTCTAAAAATAAATGGAATATTTTAAACTTTAAAGTGGGTTAAATGGGTTAATGGGCAAACCTATAAAACCCATTAGCTTATTGGTTAAAATTTATTTAATCCAATAATTAAAAGAACGCAAATATTAAACCCAAAATCAATTTATTATTAGGTTGTAAGCCAATTAAACCGATCCATTTGACAACTCTAATGGAACGGAAATTAGGGGTGGTTACGGATCGGATATCCGGGATTTTTAAGATATCCATATCCGTATCTGATCCACACAAATATTCGATTTTATTATCCGTATCCGATGTGTAATTTTCGGATATCCGCAACTTCGAATATTCGTAAAAATCAAAGATATTTGCAGATATTCGTATACACCCTAAAATATTATAAAATTTTAAATTTAAATTAAATAAAATTTTTTAATGTAAATAAAATATATAATCTATTTAAGATAAATGATATTCATAAATTTAAAATTCATAATTTAAATATTTCAAATCAACTCAAATACAAATACAATTATAATTTATCACATATAAATATATTCAAAATTCAAAATTCAAAACATTAAATATAATAAATCTTAATATTCAAAAGATTAAAATTATAAACCTCAATATATATAAAAATTTTTTTGAATCATTTTTTCTTAAAAAACATGTAAATATTAAGCATTTTAAATTTTCATATCAAATTATTTTTATATTTAATAATATTATTACAAAATACAGATCAGATCAGATATGTCGGATAATTCAATTTTAATATCCGTATCCGATCTGTATCCGATAAATATCTCTAAATAAATATCCGTATCCGATCCGTAAATTCCGGATATCCGAATTTTCGGTTCGGATACGAATCGAATAACGGATCGGTTCGGATTTTTCCGGATATTTTGCCCAGCCATGACGTAAACAACGCAAGACCAAGACTTGACCCGGATCGAGTTCGGGTTCGGTCGAAACGGCGGGAGGAAAGAGACGAAAGGAATGCAAGGTCGTCGTGGCTTTTCTTCATAATCTCATAATGTTTGCGTAAATCTCTGTATAGGTGTGTCTATATTTCTGCAAATTAGGGCTATTGAATTATTGATGATGCGTTTTCGAGCAGGAGCTCGAGTTCATACACAAGAGTTGCAGTACGGTTGGGTACAGACCCAACGTCTTCTCCACCACTCTCTCTCATCTCATCGCCACCAATTCTGCTCATCTCATCGTCCCTTTCGTCTCCATCAGAGGTGCCCATTTCCTCTTCCTTGCTTGGGTTATTCACGAGATGAAGGTTGGATTCGGAAAGTGGGTTTTCCAATTACTTGATTCGTCTTTCTGTATCCAAGGTTTTTGGGTTGATAAGATCAGGGGAAAAGGCCATATTTTAATCGATTTACACAACACTTCTTGGGTATTTGTTCATGATCTCATACCAGTAATCAGCTTCCATGATGTGTTGATATTGGTGTCATGGTTGTTCAATCTTTTGAGAAACAGAGAGGTTAAAAGAAAAAGTTGAAGAGGCGTTCGGGTGTGAATTCGAGCTGTTCATCGAATTCACCGGCTTAGTCAGGTTTAGTAGTGTTGTTACTGGTTTCCTACAGAACATAGAAAAGGAGGTAAGAGTGACGTTGTGACAAAGATGTTCTTCTGTTTGGTTCAGCTGGTGCAGAGGAGCAAACATTGGATGGCACAGCGATGATAACAGACCCTATCTAAAACAAAGACACTTCACGGTTTGTATTAATCACCACCACCCCCATCATCATCATCATCATGCCATCCTTGTAGCATCGTGATAACTTTCAGGTTTTATGGTTGAAGGCAGTTTGTTACTTGAATAGTTACGGAAAAGATTTCAATGGCGGACTTTTCCATTTCCAGAGTGGAGAACCAGCAACCTTTGCTCCTTCTGCTGGTGTAGGTCCCTTTAGATAATTAGTATATCTATCTTGTTGTTCGATATGTTTGATGATTGTTAGATCTGAATGTGTTTACAGTGACTACAGTGAAATTCTGGTGACTAATCAGATTTCAAGACTCTTGACTGGATTTACTTTTTCCTTGTTTCCAAACAGGATGTAATCTTGTACACAGCTGATAGCCGGAATATCCATTCTGTTGATGAGGTACGAATAAGAGCCTTTCATTCTGTGCGTACGTGTTATGTTCTGTGTAAGTAGTAACAAACGGAAGATTGCAGGTATCAGATGGAGAAAGACTGACTCTTACACTTTGGTTCAGTCGTGATTCATCCCATGATGAGGATTCAAAGCTCGTTTCCCGTCTTTCCCGACACCCATCTCTTCCTCTCAGCGGATCACTTGAGTCTTGTCTCCCATTGCCTGCATCAAGCAACATGTATTGGTTTTCTCCCGATCAAGAAGCTGGTAGTCAGAGCATAGGTTTTAACATTTGCATGGCGAGGTTGCATGTCCTTGGTTTTGATTCAGATTTCTCCCAAGAACACGAGAATCTCGAGCACTTTTCAGAACAACTCATGGGACCTATACAACTAGCAAAAGGAGGAGAATTGTTTAACTGGAAATTCGCCAACATTTTGCATGCCCTTCAGGTATACACAGGCCCCTTGAATCGTACATGATGACTTGCACTCTTTTCTATCAGACCAGTACTCATTCTAAACTTAAGAAGACTGGTTCTTGGTCCTTCACCTGGTTATACCTATTTGTTTGTCTAGCTCGGGCTACTTGCCTGCCGTATCTACTCAAAAAGGTTTGCTAGTTTTCCTGTTTTCTTTGTGTCCAACAGGTAGTTCAGTTCTACCACTGGAAGGCTCATGAACTGGAGACATTGAATGCTGGAGAACACATTGTGAAAGAGATTAGCCCTCTGTCCAAACCTCAGTTGGAAAGAATCGGTGCCCTAAAGTCCGTTTTCCTGCACGACAAGCCGGAATTGGTAAGCAAGATTTTCGGGTGTTCGAGCTTTGAGAACGGGAAGAACTCGTTGGACTTGATGGGTCTGTCTGCTGTGATCGTGGCTTGGAATGAATATACCTGTAAGTTACTTGAGGAACTGAGATTGTTCTTGCCTCACTGGGAAACTTATCAAACGATATTCAAAGTCCAATCCTGTTAGAGTCTTAGATCTCGGACCTGAGATAGTTTTCTCTGTAATCTGTATCAGATTCATGGTTCGATTACTTTTAAATCATTACTAATTACCCATTTCCACTTGAGTACTCGTGGTTGGCTCTTCAAACATATCCTTCGATACTTAAATGCATCTCACTGATACTTTTCTATGCTTCAGAACCCACCATGTTTCTTCGTATCTCAAACCTTCATCATCAAATTACAAATGAGAAAAATTGTTTTCTAGTATAAAACCCAATAGGTTGTCGTAAATAGATGTGTTCATTGAGGGAGATACAAGCCATGAACAAGTTAGCTCGGATAGTCGGAAATGCTTGGCTGAACGTTGAAACATGCATGAAGAAAGTGGATTGTATGAATATCATGTTGGATTTCACTAGGGTTCTTAGCATGTGAGTTCATCAAATCGGACCAAGATCGGCTCATTCGGAACATATAGCTCATCCTCATGCTCGTTATCGGGATTTATCCTCGAACTCGTATCTCCGACACTAGTTTGCAATGCATCATGAGCGCATTTTATTTCTGAATAGATGTATTGCACACTTCTCATTGACTTCTTGAGTTTTTTAAACCCTATAAAGAATTTGTAAATAGATTGTGGAATCAAAATCAATCCACTGTGATCAACTTTGATCATATTAGATTCATAACAGACGAGTGAAAGTAGATTATCTTTCTTATCGAGCCAAACTTAGAATTTCTAGCAATAATTCTTCATGTGTCTCTTCTTCTTATATATATAAAAAAAATACTTTGGATGCATTTCTGATAATAATTCTTCATTTGTTCCTTGCCTTTTCTCTTGGCTTGATATTTGACCTTCTCTTGAGTTGTCAAATACACTTATCTCGATTCTATAGACGACCTTTCTTCCTTCTTAACACACATGGTCAATAGTTCATTGTTGACGATTTATCTTTATGTGTGTTATAACAGATCTTAAAAGGTCCATATTGTTGTGGAAGATGGTTTAGAATATGATGAACAAAGAAAGAGTCAAACATGGTAAAGTAGCCTAAAGTTTCTTTAGTCGAACCGCTATATCTTTTATTTGCTTGATATACTCACGTATTCCTTCAACACCGACAAGTTTTAAAATAGAAAACTTAGTAATTTAGGTGTCTTTTAATGCTTTATCTGAAGGCTCAAACTGATCGTCAATATACTTCATTAACTCATAGACATTTTCATATTATTCAAGTGAACTCCAAATGTTATTTGAGGTATTCATCTTTATTAACATAACATTAAGGCGATTAGATCGCTCCAACGTTTCATAAAATTCAATTTCGTTAGATAAACTCTCATCCGTAATAGGTGATGATTCATCTTTTTATATAGTATAATCAAATATACGTTTATTTCAAAAATCGAGGCAACTATTCAAAATATGATGTTTTATCTATATAAAGATATCAAAAATATAAAATCATATGACATAAAATTTATCGGTGGACTAACTTTCTAATGTAAATCAATTCATGTCGTACTTAATATGATCCTTAAAAAATAACGTATAATTTTATTATAATTAATAGGTGTTAGTAGCTACTCTCTAATCGGATCACCAAACATTTCATCTCCATGAGTAATCCGAATTATGCGCATAAATATAACTTAAACGCAACTATATGTCAAGTCAGCGTATTCTCCAGCAGGAACATAGGCTCACATGCTGGGCCTTGAATGGGTCACAATGATTTTGAGTCCGATTTTCGGCCCATCAGACATCCGGCCTCGAAATGTACCTACTTGGGCTTAAGGCCCGAATATCTTTAAAAAAACTCCTTTTTACAAAAAAAATATATATATATATGGGTCAAAAAAACCCAAAAAGTTAATTGGTCGAAGTCCAAAACACTTTTATTAAATTGTTGGACCAAATCCCAAATCCCAAATCTTTTAATTTAAAACAGGGAAACCATAAAATTCTCTCTTTCAAAGAGACCCACAAGCCTCCATTTTTTTTTTACAGATTGCTGTCCGGCTGTGTTTTAAAAATAGTTCTAAAAACAGAATTCTATCGAGATCGACTCAAGCAACAAAATTCGCATTTAAAATAAAGATACTATACAATATTATTAGGATTTTTTTTAAAAAAAACTTACAGATTTATTTATCCCTAAAAACCTTTTAATCGATAGTCATAATAATGAAAATATTTTTCAACAACACATAAAATCCAGAATGCAATAAAATTTTAGATCAATCAAATTGCATCAAAAATTCAGATTTTAATATTCTAATAACAGATTTGTGAAAAAAAATCTCATCAACCATAGGATATCAAAAATATTTTAGAGGCTCTGATATCAATATAGGAATAATTCTTAATCCTTAAAAACATTATCTATAAATTATATGTAAAACAAATATTATATAGTAGATATGGATGCGGAATAAAATGAACCGTAAATTTTTAAATACCTCTCGCATTGATCTCTGTTATTGTCACAGGAATTTATCAGAATTTTAGATCTCCCAAGTCTTAACAATTCTGAATCAATAGTGCACTTTTTTTAATGAACTTGCTTATAATAAAACAAATCTATGTATTTTTTATTTGGCATTATCACAACTTCATATCATCTTTTAGATATCGTTAATCACTTTAATCCAATAATATTGGGTCATCTGTTAGAAATTGCTTAAATTCCCCAAAATATTGGAAAGTCGTCACTTCCTTATAAATTAAAATTTAGTATATATAACAACTCCAATATATATATACATATATATATATATATCACTACCATAGTACATATTTTATGGTTTGGTCCGTTGGCTTGATTGTTATACCCAGCCATATAACGAGAGAACCAGGCAAAACTCACATCCTCGAAAAAGAAAAAGATTAAAAAAAAATAGGAAGGATCACACGAACGACTTAAGTTTTTTTTTTTTTTTATAACGGAGGATCCCTAGTTGCTATCCTTCGGGTGCACTGACTAGGTAAACCTCCGGTTCGTTATGTATATGGATCATATAAACCCAGAAATTACCTCCCTCCCCACCAGTTAGGAATCGAACACTCAACTTCAAGGTGGAGTTACCTCCTACCCCAAACTTGACCACTCGCCCGCGATCTGTTGGGTGACTTAAGTTACATCTGTGAGCATTAATTGAGACTAAGGCCGTGGATGATGTATCACGTGATGTATCATGTATGTACGTACCAACTTATGCATACATATATGCATACATACATACATATATATATATATATACATACATATCTACATCCATGTGTAAGGTAATGATGTAAATGTAAAGGCAACGAGTAGGGTTTGATTGCGGTGTGTGGGGAAGGGGGAGGTAAAAAGGGGCTTACACCGTCCATGTGGGCAAAGATTTTATATGCTTTCGATGAAGATTAGGAGATAGAGACAAAGCCAGTTATTATTTATTTATTTTTTATGTAAATCTTCTGTAATGATATCTTTATGCGGTTGTCAAGAACCTTTCACCTCTCCATCATTACTCGTTGAAAGCGAATAAAAAGCTTAAAGGAACCAAAGTCCCATGTTGTCATCACTTCCTTAGTTTCTTTTCTATTTTTTTCAACCCGTTCAGTACATCTCCTTTTCGATTTCTATGTATACTATTCTTCTCGATCTTTACATTTTATGTGGTTTAGAATCAAACATCTCTTAAATATGAGAATAAGAGATATACAGGAAATTTTATCTAAAATTGTAATTCATAGTATAATACATTTACCGACAGGATAAAAGGTACCATTCACAGCCTAAGCAACATATTTCTACATTTTTTATTACCTGTGTTAATTCGCACGTCGAGGAGGGAAAATATGTACACAAGCATGCAAGCAAGTATATAAGTCTACCTATACATGTATGTACGAAGTATATATGTACGCATTTATTATATACATACACGCAGTGTTTCTTCGTATGGGTTACAAAATATTGTATTTTTTGTTTTCTTTTTTTGGTGTGTTAAAAGTTTCAGTGAATCTATAAAGATGCCAACTTTAATTCACAATAACTTTCAGACAGGAAAAAGAGAGCGAAGGAAGGAGACAAATGCCGCGGGTTTCAGTGCACAATTACGAAAACGGCAATTACTCTCTCAAATTATGGCATGCTCTTTATGTTATGCCTTAAATATTATTATAGCCTCACCACCAACTACGCTGTTTTCATATTAAAAATAAATTTTCAAAAAAGCACATTCTCCTTGTGTATATATATAATTGAATCATATAAATGTCTCATTTATGCAATATGATCATGATCTAAACATCACTAAACCATTATAAAATATTTATCACTACGTCTAAATTGGGTATCGTGATTCGACGATAGATCGATCACGGACTCTGAACAAATTAATTAGAGAGCACGATCGACCGATCGTCAAACACAATAGATCGATCATTGAAAAGAAAACATGTTTTTCTTTTTTTGGCGCCACTCACAAAAAAGAGAAAGGGACAACTACCATTTGAGCCACCATAAGATAGTCACGACCAAGAGGTTGGAGGGGAGCTTTGCAACACTTGAGAGAGGTTTTGAGAGTAAATCCAACGCATTTCAAAGGAGATTCAAGAGTAGAAGAGGAGAAAGAGGAAGACCATGTTGCAAAACTCTAAGTAGTCTTTATAACTCTATCTCTTAATCTTTTTCTCTTGTATACTCTCTTATGTTGTCTTCCATATAGGTTGAGGGTACATCGACTAGTTGATAAATCGTTTTGGAATCTAAATCAGAAGGGGTCGGGATCATGGTATTAGAGGAAGATTCTCAAGCTAAGGCAGTTTGCACGAAATTTTCTTTGTTGTAGGGTGGGAAATGGCAATTCATGCAAATTCATGCAGATTACGTTTGGAAAGCTTTAATTGAATAGATGATCTTCGTATTGATAAATAGTTGTATTGTCTAGGAATTGTGATAGGTTTTTTAAGTTTTTAAAGATTTTAACCTATTAGGAATTGAGAGATCGGTAAGCTATAAGTTTCTAGGAAATGAGGTTGGGTATCGAGAGAGTCAACGATACAAAACAACATTGAATTTCCCAAACCGAATTTGTGAGATGCAAAGTAATCCTTAAAAAACGGTCCTTGTACAATCGATAGTTTCCGTCACCTATGATGACTACGTTTGACCCTTCCTCCTCGTCGTTTAGTCAGATACGTGATCCCTTTTCCTACTTACTACTTGGTCGTCAAGGAACTACTTTTTTTATTTGAAGTTTCTCAGCAAGTGGCCCAAAATCCTGCTTGGGGAGCAAGGTTCTCATCCAACAACACACACACACACATATATATATATATAGCTTGAGATCTTCAGGTATTGGAGATCAAGAATCTCAGCTCAATACAAGACACCGTAACGTTAGTGGTGATGACGAACTCGAATGCTTCACTTCCGGTTTACTTGGGTGACGAAGGGATGACCGAAGAAATCAAAGACATGATGACTTCACTTCCAAGACAGAAAGGTTGGATGGTGAACCATACGTATCAGTTCCAAGGATTTTGGCTACCACCAAGCCTCTTACAAGGAACTATAAACTGCCAAAAACACTTCCAAGCCCAAGATTCCGACGTAATCCTCGTCACAAACCCTAAATCAGGTACGACTTGGTTGAAAGCCCTCATTTTCGCTCTGATCAACCGAAACAAGTTCCATGATTGTCAACATCAGCATCCTCTCCTCACTCACAACCCTCATTCCCTCGTGTCATTTTTGGAGGGCGTTTACTATAATTACCCCCATGGTTTACCTGATGACGTTGTGTCCTCCTCCTCCTCCTGTACGAGATTCTTTAACACTCATATGGCCCACGTTTCGCTGCCCGACTCCATCAAGGGCTCGTCCTGTAAGATCGTGTATTGTTGCAGGAACCCTAAGGACATGTTTGTTTCCCTTTGGCATTTCGGACACAAGCTGGCTTCCCAAGAGACCTTGGTCTGCCCCATAGAAGAGGCTGTCAAGTTGTTCTGTGAAGGGTCTTTTATCGGCGGACCCTTCTGGGATCATGTCCTGGGATACTGGGAAGCAAGTCAGAAGAACCCGGACAAGGTCTTTTTCGTTACGTACGAAGAAATGAAAGAGCGTCCAAGAACTCACCTGAAGAGAATGGCCGACTTCTTGGGATGCTCTTTCACTAAAGAAGAAGAGGAGGAGAAAGGAATGGTCGATGAAATCATAAGGCTTTGCAGCTTCGAGAGTCTCAGTAACTTGGAAGTTAACCGAAAGGGGAAGTTGCCGAATGGAATTGAAACGAACGCTTTCTTTAGGAAAGGACAAATCGAAGGATGGAGGGACACTTTGACGGATTCTTTGGCAGAGGAAATAGACAGAACCTCTGAACAGAAGTTACACGGTTCAGGCTTCAAGTTTCAGTGCTAAATCTGAAGTAATCAGACATATATGCATGTAATGTGTTCTCGCAAAGGTTTCTTTCTTGTGTGTTGGTTAGGCGTGGCCAATTCGGGTTTCGGTTCGGGTTCGGTTCGGTTATATTCGAGTTCGGTTATTTCGGTTATAGAAAAACTATAACCATTCGGTTTTTATATAAATTTCGGTTCGATTCGGTTCGGTTATTTTTCGGTTCGGGTTCGGTTCGGTTTTGGTAAAAAGTTCAATTTTCCAAAGAAAATTGTCGGTTATTCTCTCGGTTTTTTCGGTTATTTTTTATTCGGTTCGGTTCAATTTCGGTTTCGGTTTTTCGGGTTTAAGGAAATCATAACCGTTCGGTTTTGATGTCAGGTTCAGTTCATATACGGTTATGTCTTATTCGATTCGGTTTGACTCGGTTATTCCGTTAATAACCGAAATAGTCACCCACTACAAAAAAAATGGTCATTTCCAACGGGCAAATCCGTTGGAAATGACCAAATTTCCGTTGGAAATTAACGTTTCCAACGGATAAATCCGTTAGAATTTCGTCGTTAGAAACCGGTGTCCGTTGGAAAACCGTTGGAATTTTCAACGGAATTTCAACGAATTTTTCCGTTGGAATTTTCCAACGGATTTCCAACCGCAATCCGTTGGAATTTTCCAACGGATTTCCAACGGATTTATCGGTTGAAATTTTCCAACCGAATTTCCAACCGATATCCGTTGGAATTTTCCAACGGAATTTCCAACCGCAATCCGTTGGAACATTCCAACAAAAAATTCAAAATATATTCTCGATCCCGACCCCGGCCCCGACATCTATCCCGATACCGATCCCGATCCCGATCCCCCGGCCCAACTCCGACCCCGACATCTATCCCGATCCCGATCCCGCAACTCACTTCCCAGTAGGTCACCCATCCTTCCACTGCTCCAGCTCAATCCTCCTTAACCCTGGAGTTCCAATTGACAATCATCCAACTGCTCCAAGTTAAACTTCTGATATTACATAACATTAATATATATACATATATAAATGTTTATACATATAAATATTTATATACATACATATATACATACATATACATATATATAAATATTTATATATATACATACATATATATACATATATATAAATATATGTATATATATATATAAATATTAACGTATGTATACATTCGAATTCATATATATATATATAAATATTTATATATATACAAACATATATATATACGTAAATATTTATATATATACACAAATATATATGAATTCGAATGTGTATATACGTAAATATTTATATATACACATATATATATATATATACATATACATATATATATATACATATACATCGTTGGAATTTTTTTTTTAAATTTCCAAAAAAATTTCCAACCGACATCCGTTGGAATTCCGTTGGAATTTTTTTTTTAAAATTTCCAAAAAAATTTCCAACCGACATCCGTTGGAATTCCGTTGGAATTTTTTTTTTAAATCTCCAAAAAAATTTCCAACCGACATCCGTTGAAATTCCGTTGGAATTTTTTTTTAAAATTTTCAAAAAAAATTTCAACTGACATCCGTTAGAATTCCGTTGGAATTTTTTTTTTAAATTTCCAAAAAAAATTCCAACGGATATCCGTTGGAAATACCGTTGGAAAATTTCAACCCTAATTTTTTCAATTGAATACGTTGAAAATTCCGTTAAAAATTTCCAACGGGCGATTCCAACGGATATCCGTTGGAAATTTTCAACGGATTTTTAACGGAAATCACCGTTGAAATGCCGTTGAAAACCGTTGAAAATCCGTTGAAAAATTTCCAACGGATAAATCCGTTGGAAAATTCGTTGGAATTTGCTGATTTTTTTGTAGTGATCCCTCCATTTGTATATATCCATCATTTATACTCTTGTTATAGTAGTTAATATCATCCATCACCTCCACAATCGCCATCAAACGAGTTCCAAATAGTGTGTTTGTTTCTGTCCCTAGAGTTCAACCCTAGATACTACAAACGATTCGTATAATTGCGGTAGTTACGTCTAGAAAAATTAAAACGAGATTAGATCACACCCTAGATCAACATCATATTCTATGATGAAGGTCGAGTTTATATTTTTATCGGCCGTCGACAAAGAAATGAATTAACTAAGAGATATCTTATTAGATATAAAATTTGTGTCCACAACAATTGATAGTTATTTTCGTTTATTATGATAATGAATCGACCATGTATCGTGCGTACAATAAAATAAATAATGAAAAGTTTAGATACATCGTTTAGACATATGAGTATGTAAGACAATTGATTAGGGACGTAGTAATGAACGGTATATATGTCAAGTCAAGTTACAATCTAATATATCATTTACTAAAAAGAAAATGTTGTAAATAATAAGAACTAAAACGCAAAAGGAGATATGAGATGGGAGAATATTTCTTTTATTGTTCTTTCGTTTTAGTATGTTTTGAAAATAGTTTACACATGCTATTTATAGGCTTACAAAGATGTGAAACAACATGTTATGAATTAAATAATAAAAAATATTACAAGAAGAGTAAATATAGATATTCATTATTTTGTAAGTTTCTTAACACTCCCCCTTGAATATCTATTGACCAAAAGATATGTTTGGATACCGTCTCGTTAAAAACCTTACCAAGAAAACCCAGTGGGACAAAACTTGATGAAGGAAAAAAGAGTGCAGTACATATCTTTTTCTCCCCCTGGAAATAACATCATTTTATATCTCTCAAATGCCGCATCTCAATCATATGTACCATCTTTTCAAATGTCGATCTGGATAGAGACTTAGTGAACAAATCTGCTGGATTCTCACTTGAATTAATTTGATGAATACTTATTTCAGTCTTTTCTTGAAGATCATGAGTGAAGAAGAACTTTGGCGAGATATGTTTCGTTTTGTCACCTTTGATGTAGCCATTCTTTAACTGTGCTATACATGCAGTATTATCTTCAAATAAGATTGTAGAAATATCTTATTGGTTGAAAGTCCACATGATCCCCGAATATGGTGAGATAACGATCTTAACCAAACACATTCTTGGCTTGCCTCATAAATCGCCAATATTTCTGCGTGATTAGTTGAAGTTGCAACCAAAGTTTGCTTTGTAGAACGCCATGAAATTGCAGTTCCACCATAAGTGAATATATATCCTGATTGAGATCGGGCTTTATGCGGATCTGATAGATATCCTGCATCTACATAACCAATTAAATCTGATTTGGTCATGTTGGAGTAATATAAATCCATATCCATGGTCCCTCGAAGATATCTAAATACATATTTCACGCCATTCTAATGTCTTCGAGTTGGTGAAGAACTATATCTTGCTAACAAACTTACGGCAAAAGATATATCAGGATGTGCATTATTAGCAAAATACATTAATGCTCCAATAGCACTAAGATATGGCACTTCGGGCCCAAATAGTTCTTCATTTTCATCACGAGGTCCAAACACATCTTTATTAACATCTGATGACCTTACTACCATGGGAGTACTTAATGGATGAGTTTTATCCATATAAAATCTTTTAAGTACTTTTTCCAAATAAATAGATTGATGTAAGAAAACTCAATCTTTTAGATGTTCAATTTGAAGATTTAAACAATATTTTGTTTTTCCAAGAGGTCTTTCATTTCAAACTCCTTTTTTAAACATTGCACAACTTGTAATAACTCTTTAGAAGAACCGATGATATTTAAATCATCTACATAAACAGAAATTATGACGAATTTAGATTTTATGGTTTTTATGAACATGCATGGACATATAGGATCATTATTATAACCTTCTTTGGTTAAAAATTCACTCAAACGATTATACCACATTCCTCCTTATTGTTTCAATCCATACAACGCTTTGTTTAACTTTACTAAATAAATTTCCCGGTAATTATCAATATGTGCTTCAGACACTTTAAATCCTTCAGGGATTTTCATATAAATATTATGATTTAATGATCCATACAAATATGTTGTGATTAAGGCGCATTTCAAGTCTTTCATGTACTGCCACACATATTAAATATCGAAATGTTATTGCATCCACCACAGGAGAATATGTCTCTTCATAATCAATACAAGGCATTTGGGTAAAACCTTGTGCAACAAGTCGTGCTTTATATCTGATAATTTTATTTTGTTCATTTCTTTTCCTTATAAATATCCACTTATAACCTAGAGGTTTAATGCCTTTCGGTGTTTGGACTATAGGTCCAACGACATCTCGTTTTTTAAATGACTCTAATTCAGACTTGATTGTCTCTTTCTATTTTGGCCAATCCTTTCTATTTCTACACTCTTCTATAGAGGTAGGTTCATGATCCTCATTTTCGTTTATGATATCGCGCGCTATATTATATACGAAAATATTGTCGACAATTATATTATTTCGGTCCCATCTCGCCCCGTATTGACATAGTTAATCGAGATCTCTTCATTTTCATTAATTGTAGATACTTGATTCTCTTCATTATTAACAATGTCAACGGTCTCTTCTAGAGAAATATCTTCATTTTTATTATCATAATTGTTTGCTCCTTTTCTTTTTCGAGAATTTTTATCTTTGGAACCAATTGGTCTACCACGCTTTTGGCTTACCTTAGACTCACTAACAATCGTAGGTTGTTCTTCATATATATCAATTCTAATCAGAGCATTTACAGCTGGAATATGAGATTTTGTTACTCTTTTGTGATCAATAAATGCATATGGCAGTTGATTTGCAATACCTTGCAAATGAATTATCTTTTGAACTTGTAGTTCACAATCTTTTGTTCGAGGATCTAAACCTTTTAATGATAATTCATTCCATGATATCTCATTTTCCAGTTGCTTGTTATTTCCCCATAACGTTGGGAATAATGATTCATCAAAATGACAATCTGCAAATCTTGCAGTAAATAAATCTCCGGTCATTGGTTTTCAATATATTTGATTATAGATGGAGATTCATATCCAACATAAATTCTCATCCTCCGTTGATGTCCCATTTTTGTGCGTTGTGGTGGACTAATTGGAATATATACCGCACATCCAAATGTTCGTAAGTGGGAAATATTTGGTTCCTAACCATGAATCAATTGTAACGGGAAAATATCATTATAACTTGGTGGTCTGATGCGTATAAG